TGCTCGCTAATATTTGCCCTTTTTTGAGGCCCCGTTTTTTACTTTCCTTTAAAAATTCTGTTACCTCTTGGTTTCTGTAAGTCTGTCTTTCACACAAGGAGAGTAGGGCTTGGCTTCTCAGAGCAGTGCTTGGCAAGCACAGAGGCAGGAAACGCAGAAGGGAATGAGTCTGTCAGACTCATTTTCTTCTAGTTCAAATGTTTATTTCAGATTCAAGAGGAAGTGGAGTGGTTCCTTTCCATTTCCTCGTCTCTGGAACCTGCGAGTTGTATAAGTAGGTTTAGAGAATGATGCTCTACTGTACATCACACCAGTTCATGGATGGAGAAAGAGACTCTTCCCAGAAAACCCCTGGTTTGAACAGACCATAATACATAACCCTCTAAGCTCTCACAGGACAGTCTTTTACGGGTTTAGCTTGAAGTCTTTGGCAGAACAAGTGAGAGCAAGGCTGAAGGCTCAGGAACATCTTATACCTGCTCCCAAGAGGCCAGGGCTATATGCCCACTAACATTAGTCCCCATCTCTGCCACGTGGCACACCTGAGGCCACTGCTTAGAGGGAGAGTCTAACATAATTTGTGAATGCCACAGTGGGATCTGGGGTCCTAAGTTCACTTTCTAAGTTCCTGAGAATTATGCTTCTGACACCAGGATAGAGTTTCAACAGCAAAACTTAAAATATACCTGTTTTAATAATGAGCCAATTTCAAACTTAAACATGCTGACTTTTCCAATCCACGCTCTGATTTCTCTCTCTCTCTTAAAATCAAGCTATTTATCTCACCAGCTCGGCTCTGCAACTTTCTTTATTGTCTATGCAATTGACACAGGTTATTTTTAATGCCAAATCGAGACCATCAGAAAACAAACTAGAAAATCTTGTGGTAAGTTTACTACTAAACTCTAACAGATGTGTCTGACTCAAATTGTAGGCATCAGGACTGAAGCGTAATTTTAGGTACAAATTACTTACTGAGAATATTTATAGACAGAAAACTTCTTCAGCAAAGAAGCATCTCTGACATTTAACACAGATTCTCCTGTAGTTTAGCAATTGATAAAGAAGTTAAACATTGTAAGTGCATTAATTATGGTTTGTTTAGGAAAGTTTCCGGCACAGAATCCTTGATCTAATCATGCTGGTTTTGTCAAAGAATTTTAAAAGACAAAAATTGGACTCATAATCTCTACTCACAGTTTGGATATTTTGAGTTGTATTGTTGTTTGGTAGCTACTGATCACAAAAGATCTATGTGCCAAAACACATATCCTTAAGTGCAACAATATTTACCTTATACATATATTTATGCTTACACATCCACTAGTAGAAGTTAGTTTCTATATTATATCTACTATGCTCTGGATGAACTCCTGAAACTAATTAACCTTCCCATATGTCAGAATTCCCTCCTGACATTCATTTATTATGATACATGTGAGCTAACAGTATACCTGAGACATATTATATTAGATACAATCACGATATTCACTTTAGAAACATATACACTGCATTGCTGTCTGATTTTTAAAAATTCTCTCTACTAGCCACTAATTAAATAAGGCATACTAACTGTAAGTACATTAGTACAACCAATCTTTTTAATCAGGAAAAACCAGGATAAGGGAAGAAGAAAAGGAAAGATAAAGAAACATTGTAAAGGTCATAATGAGACAAACATTTCTACTTGAAGATATTTTCAGGGAGTACACTACAAGCAAGCTATGCCAAGTCATGTACTTTTCATACACAAAATTATATTGTATCAAATTTAAATTTGTTACAACTGCCATGTACATTAAACCAGTGATAACGAAAATGTAACTCAATATCTGATCTAGTGAAACAGCAACCAGCATTAGCTCTTAGCCACATGAAGACACTCTTCAATGCCATTACTGGTGTCAGCTAAACCTCAGCCAGTTTGTCTTCTCCAGCCATTTTAAAATAAATATGTGACTATCTCAATTAGGAAATCTTGAAGGAAGTCTCTATGATGAGGCAAGTTTGTTGCTCATTCTCAGTGCCCTGCATTTGCTGTACTTAAAATAGACACTTGTACCAATGTCCTTTCTATTACCCGAAGGGGGGAAAAAAATCACATACACACCAGTCCTTTTTCTTTCAGCTCACAGAGAAGCAACTCAATCCAACCAGTGTTGAAACCTGAGTAGGTCACTGTACACCACGATAAAATTCCCTAATCCCTGAGCCAAATCTCCCTAAGGAGGGCCTCCTCCTGATCCTCCACTTCCCAGGCTGACTTTTCCATTTGCTCTCTCCTCTTTCCCCCTTTCATTTCCCCTACCTTCAAGCCTTGATATGTGATCCGAGGTGGGGGCTCAGGTTTCCGTTTTTACAGCTTAGGCCACGCTAGCTGTATACATTCCTTTCTTTCTGCCGGGCAGTGATTACTTACCAGGGCTTAGTTTACACTGGTCCAGATGAAAGCCGTTCAGATGAAGGCAAACACAGCCAGGCAGCTCCAGCGGCACCGATATGAAGCTGCACAAGGCCACATTGTGTTCTCGGTGACATTTTGTTGCACACAACTATATACAGGGCAACCAACTTGTTATGTTACTCTATACTTAGGTTCAGGGAGCTAGAGGAGTAATAGTATCATGATGTTTGGGGAGGGGTTTTGTTGATGTGATTATTAATATTAAAAACAGAAAGATATTAAGGAGTTCAAAATAACCCTTCCACCTTTTGACTTTGAGAAACCACTTTTTAAGTAAGGACTTTTGGTGCTGTTATATTAGAAGAATGCACCTAAACAATTCCACTAGATCTCGGGCATGGTATACTTGAACATGACTAAAAATTTTGGTTAGGGGTATTTTACTTTGGTCCAAAGCAGAGAGAAAATACTGATCCTACAGACAATTGAATTATTTGCTGTGTAAAACTTCTTATTTAATACTACTCTGGATTGAAAGGGTGAGGATTAAAACTTCAAATAGTGGGTGGTGATTTGGAAGGAAAATAACATTTTAAAAAGAGGAAATTTCTGTGCACCAAGGTTAATTCCATACTTAGTCCTGCAGCATCGGCTAAAAATTGTGTAATTTTTCCCCTTCACACAATGTTGTTTTTGTTTCTTCCTCACCAGTTCAGACAAACATCTGTTATACTGTAGAAGGACAACTATCTCCCAAACCACGGAGTATGCCTGCAGCCAAAATCAACAACGCGAGCCCCAAGCATCGAGCACAGTCAGCCTTTATATCCAGCCGGGATAACATTTCACATGTTTTGATTAAAATTAGCTAATTTGTAATTCTAGAACCTATGAAACTTAAAAGCTGCCATCCATATACATCACATTAGGCAGTGTTTTAAAGGGCCAGAGCTGGTTGCGATTTCCTAGTGGCTTTCACCTCTCTCCCCTTTCCCCACCCCCAACCTAAAATGAAATGCAAAAGTAATCTGGAAATGCAGGACAGCAGGCAAGGGTAAGTGAAGAAGGATGGTTATTATGGACTGTTTAAATTTTGTTCCTATCAAAAAACAACAACTTCTACTGGTCTTAAAAATATATATAACTGTCCATCATTGGAATCAACGGTGGTTTCCATCATAAGAAATGGTATTGATTTTCAAGGCAAATCTCCCTTAATTCTCCGTTGGACTCATGCTGCACCTCTAGCTTCCAGGTACTAAGTTCCTTATCCAGTAATAAAACCCCTAATTCTGATATTTAGGTTGCTTCTGACATTTCCGAGAGGAAAGTAAAGCTAAGCATATGCACCTAGGTACACATACATATATGATGTATATCCATGCGTCCCCTGCTAAGCGTGAGCTATGATAGAAAATGTTTGTTCTAATGAAGAAAGCGTCAAAGCTCAATAAATTTGACTTACTTGCATACCATTTTCATCCAGTTTGTCTTTTAAATACAAACTGAACCAAAACTGGCCAAGTAGTAGTATTTAGCCACCTGGCAGTATTAAGGATTTCATGCAGAAGATGGGGAACACCAAGAAGACCGCAAAATGCAAACCTGCTACTTTTTGATGGCTCGCAGAAAAATAAATTGTTTTAAATCAATAGAGACTCGTGAAATCAACACAGAATAAAACCCTCACCCAGGCAAAAGCCGCAACTTCATGGAAAATAAGGGGCTGGGGGGCAACGAGAGGGTCCGGAGCCGAGCAGTACTCTTGTGCAATCGCTCTAACGCGAACAGCTGGAGCGCCAGGCTACTGCGCTCTCCACCTCTGGTGCACCGCTGGCCTGGCCGGGAGCCCGGCCTCGCCGAGAGGACTCCGGGCCGGCCTTTGGGAACAATGGGCAGGCGCCCTGCAAAGGCCGCCCTCAGACAGCTGTCCTCCAGCGGGGCTGGCCGGGGTCTGCTTCGCTGGGAAGTGAGGCAGGCAGAGGCGAGCGAGAGGCGGAGGCTGCCAGTGGAGAGGAGCGGGCGGGGGTGGGCGAGGCGAGCGGTCAGGACCGTGCCCAGACCCGCGCCTCTCGGGCCGCAGCTCGCCGGGCACTGACGGGCTCTTCACGCCGTCGCAGCTGGTTGGTTGGGGGGAAGCGGGATTGAGGAGAAGGAGGGTGAGCTAGGGGAGAGGGGTGGAACAGAGCTCTCTCCGGGGTGCCCCGGCCAGGTGGCTCCTAACTTTGGAGGGAACCTGAGAATGATTCCCAAAAAGCGGGGGAGAAACTGCACCGTCCACTGGGAAAGCCTCTTCCCCTGCCCACCGCCGCTCGGGTCCCCGGTGCCCTCGCTCTGAAACGCGCCAGTGCCAACCTGGGGTTCGTAAGGTTAAATAGTATGTGGTCCCCCCTCATCAAATCTGAGGTTGGCAACAATTTCGGGGATGCAGCCCGCGAGTTGGCCTCTGCTTTACACCTGGAGGCGCGGAGCCGTTCTGGGCATCCTACAGAAACTGACAAGCGCGCCCCGGTACCCCCCAGATCCATACCACGGCCCACGGGGAGCGGGCGCAAGTAAGAAGTCAGTCTCCCTGGCCCCCGAGATCCAAAAATACCTTCATCTCCTCATTGATCTCCCTTTTCACTGGGTGAGCCGGCTTCCTGCTCCGTTTATTTTCCGGAGGTCTCCCTTCTTTCTCCATTTCTGCCATGTTTTTGTGTCTGGTTTCTGTGGAGATGAAAT